TGTTCCCTGTCAGGGCAGTCATTGGTGGTAGCCGTGAACCATCTAGTTCCTATGGTCTCAGACTGATGCAGTTGCTGGTTTATGTGGCCCTTTCTGTCTCTTGGGTTAATGCTTTCCTTGTGACTTTGGTGTTCTTCATTTTCCTTTACTCTAGGTGGGTTGGGACCAATTGATGCATCTTAGATGGCCGCTCACTAGCTTTTAAGACTCCAGACACCACTCACCAAAGTAGGATGCAGAACATTTTCTTAATAAACTTTGTTATGCTAATTGACCTAGATGTCCCCTGAAAGCATGGTCGCCAGACCTCTGCCCCTGGAAAAATATTTTAAGAAGTTCTGCTATACATTCAGAATGTCCTACCACCTAGAATGTTAATCTATATTTTCTTCCAGAAATTGTATGCTATTTTAAATATTTCTTCCAACTTTAATTTACCATGTGAAGATAGAAATTTAATTTTTTTTGCTTCCAGCAAATAACTTATCATCGAAGTCTCATTTATTTCAAAATCTTTCCTTTTTTCATTAATTTTGATGCCACTTTTACAACATAATTGTTATTGTTGTTAGGTGCCCTTGAGTTGGTTCCAACTCATAGCGAACCTATGCACAGGAGAATGAATATAATAGCTTCTGGTATTACTGGATTTGCTTATGATCACTCTGCTGCACAGATATATCTATTTAGAGCTAGCTAATTTCACCATGGCTAAAAAAAGTTTCATGATGCATATAATCAAGAGTAGATCAAACCTTTCCTCTTTACTCCTGTTTGTAAAAATTATCTTGCCCAATCATTCTTGTGGAAAACATGGCTAAATTGTCTTTCCGATATCCATTCTCAACTTTTCTCTTAATAGCAGGACACTGATTTAGATTGGGGTGGCAATATACCCAGCTAATAACGTCAATCTAGTGGTTACCATGCATATTAGTTTCCTATTGCTGCTATAACAAATTACCATAAACTAGTGACATAAAGTGAAGAGAACGTCAAGCACTTACTGATGAAGATCAAAGATCACACCTTCAGTATGGATTACACCACAACATTAAGAAAACAAAAATCCTCACAACTGGACCAATAAGCAACATCATGATAAACGGAGAAAAGATTGAAGTTGTCAAAGATTTCATTTTACTTGGCTCCACAATCAACACCCATGGAAGCAGCAGTCAAGAAATCAAAAGACGTATCGCATTGGGCAAATCTGCTGCAAAAGACCTCTTTAAAGTGTTGAAAAGCAAAGATGTTGCCTTGAGAGCTAAGGTGCGCCTGACCCAAGACATGGTGTTTTCAGTCACCTCATATGCACGTGAAAGCTGGACAATGAATAAGGAAGACTGAGGAAGAACTGACACCTTTCAATCGTGGTGCTGGAGAAGGATATTGAATATACCATGGACTGCCAGAAGAACGAACACATGTGTCTTGGAAGAGGTACAACCAGAATGCTCCTTAGAAGCAAGGATGGTGAGACTACATCTTACATACTTTGGACATGTTGTCAGGAGAGATCAGTCCCTGGAGAAGGACATCATGCTTGGTAAAGTAGAGGGTCACTGAAAAAGAGGAAGACCCTCAAGGAGATGGACTGACACAGTGGCTGCAACAATGGGCTCAAGCATAACAACGATTGTGAGGGTGGTGCAGGACTGGACAGTGTTTCCTTCTGTTCTACATGGGGTTGCTATGAGTCGAAACTGAATCGAGGGCGCCTAACAACAACAACAACAACAATGACCTAAACCAACATAAATTTATTATCTTTAAGTATTGGAAGACAAAAGTCCAAAATGAGTCCCAGTGAGCTAAAAATCAAGATACATTCAGGCTGTTCCTTTCTGGAGGCTCTAAGGAAAAATCCATTTTTAGGGTTTCATCAATGGTCCTTGTGATGTGCCATACATGAGATATCATATCCATGGGTAGGGAAATTCTCCTTTCAGGAGAGGTGGGCCCATTGGCAGGGAGGGAATCTGCATCTGGTCCCAAAGCTGAACCCATGAGACCGAACTGACAGAAAAGTTTATTTATGGTGCCATGGCCTCCAAGGAGCTGAGTCACTTAGAGAATAGAGTAACAACTAAACAGTGTATTTAATGAGGACCTCTGAGAATTCTGCCTCTGGACTCTCAAAGCTGTAAATTCTCCCTCTGCCGCTCACCTGTAACACAACAGCCACAGGCTAAGATCCTCCTGATTTGTGCTGGTCCCTCCCAAAACCCCTGAAATGTCCATCCTCTCTTGAGAGCCACCGCCGAATAACAACTCCCTGCCTGATTTGCACCCATTGTCCAAAGGAGAAAGGGCCAGCGTAGCCTTGTCCATCGGGTGATGCCGTGGAGGAGCCAGAGAAATCCAGTGAGTTCTGTGGGAACGGGGTGTAGGGGAAGGAAAGCTTTTATGAACCTTGTCTTCTGGAGAACAGTCAGGGTGATGAGGTAGTATAAGCAGATTGACTCAGATCCTCCTCCACCATCCAGGTCCCTGCTCTGAAGGGGCTTCTCATAGCCCATTCCTTCTTGGTTCCCTTCCTTGTTGCTTCCATCTCAAAGAACAATCCCAGAGCTTGCCTCTTTCAACAGAAAATTTACTCTCCCCTAGTGCTGTTTGGCTCTCAGGATTCTGCTCAGGTTCAACCTTAGCATCTCCTCTTATTTGTCAAGCATCGACTACAGGAGACAGCGCTGCTCAGTGAGAAAGGCCCTGACTTGGAGTCAGACAAGGGTAAGTTCTAATTCAGCCATTTCCACTTAGTAGCTGATGGGTCCTTTAAGTATTCCTTACATTCTAGGAACCTGCTTCTTCATCAGCCCAACAGTGAGTACAAGGACCTCAGAGGATGCTCATGGTATGACAGATACAACGTGTCAATGTCCAGGATCTATTGTCTAGTGTCATTTGAAAAACATCATTTATTTATCATTCACATAATATGTTCCAGCAAGAATTTTCAGGAAGTCTATACAATTACATAAGACAAAGTAAAATGTCTTAAAGGTGTATGAGCAGAGAAATATTGGGGCAAAAGAAAAGAAAGGAAAAAAATGAAGTGAGAAATGACAAAGCAAACAAAATTTGTAGCATAAAATCTCACATAGATGCCAACATTGGGCACCTGATTTGGCTGTGTGTATCCCAGTGAATACAAAGGACTATGTTTGTGGTATTAGAATGAGTTTTTGCTACATAAATGGAAAAACACAAATAAAAGTGCTTTAAACAAATTAGGAGTTTATTTTCTCTCCCATAAAAGAAGGGTCCAATATAATAGCTTCATGTTAACATGAGGGCAGGGGTTAGTTTATCTTTCTGTTCTACCATTCAGAATGTGTGGTTTTCCAAGATATGAGAGCTTCTAGCTTCCAGCTGTAATGTTCAAACTGTGGTCAAGAAGAAGATGGAAAAGGGGAAAGGTTTCTAAAGAACATTCCAATATTCCCATCCTAAACTTTTCCTTCTATTCACTGATTATCTATCATTGCAAGCGGAAGTATGATACTTTAGCAAGGCATATAAAACCAGTTGCCATCAATTCAATTAACTATGGTCTGTAGGGTTTTCAATGGCTATGACCTTTCACATGTAGATCAACAGCCTTTCTTCTGAAGAAACTTTGAGTGGATTCAAACTGCCAACCTTTTGTTAGTAGGCTAGTACTCAGCTGTTTTCACCACCAAAGGCATATATAACCAACTCCAAATAAAACTGGGCATCTGTTAATAAATAAGAGACTATGTATGTTGGGTAGGAAATCTATAGCACACACATCAATTACAAGATTCATAGTATTCATAACATTAAAAACAACCAATTGTATAACAGAAGAATGACTCTGTCTCATAAAAAAAAAAAAAGCTGTCCCTGATTCTCATAAAAACATCACAGTATTTGATATAACATAATGAGCAGTGTCTTCAGCCAATTCACTACAAGTAATCCAATTATGAATTTCAAGGTTCTTGAAATGTTTCTTAGTGGAGGCTAAAGGCATCACACAGTAACTATCACACTAGGGAGGAGGGAGGAGACAGGGACATTATATCCTAGCCCAGGCATTCAGGTGTTCTGAAGCAGTAACCTTGATGGGTTAAAAAGCAATACCCAACAGAGTGACAAGAGCATTCTAACTCCCTAGTAGTGCAGATTGAAAATTGCACTGCAACTACTCTATTATTATTATGATTTTCATGGCTCTAATTAATAAGTCATTATCAATCCTGCTTTGTTCTCCAAACTAAATGATTGCAATGACCTACTACTGTGTATTTTCCAGGGAGGTCTGAATGTTTTATGTACCAATCTTATATGAATTAGATAAGAAAAAAATAATCTCTACCCCTCCCCATGTTTGTAATGACAACAGATCCTTGAGGGAGGGGTGGCCACATGTGGAAGTGGGAGATGCCCCAAGTGATCTGCAGTGAAACCCACCAGTCAGCTTTCTCTTTCTTTCTAATGCAATGATTCCCTCAAGCCTCGGGTCCACCCTCAGGGGATAAAATGGAAGTCATGGGGATGGGTTGCTCTTGGGATGTCCCAGGTGAGGCTAAGTATGCTCAGGTGGAATCTCCATATCTCTGAGTGAAGGCAGCAGGGTTTCAATGAGCCTTGAACCAATGTGTGCCTCCTTCCTTTTGAGGGTAGAAAAACTCCAGCTAAGGGGTTTGGGCAGTGTTTTTCTGGGGGCATTCTGCAGAGTGGAAGGTCAAAACTTAAGAAAGAATTGTTCCTTCTAAGAGAAAGACTCCCTGTGGTTGCAGATTCAAATGTTGGCCCAAATTTGTACCATAAGAACTTAATGAGCACCCAAAATACCTATCTACATTCCTTTGCTCCATGTAAGCTAAATTCCTCTAAGACATTAGGAACACTAAAAAATATTACTTGATGAGCAGCAATGATAATTCAACTGCGGAAGCCCCAGAAACTGCAGATACTAGCCCGTTGTCTTTGCCTGCAGCTCACCACTTCCCGGCTGGGAATGAACTCACTTGTGCCTCCAAGAGACATCATTCAGGTCCAGATAACTCGTGCCTGGCCCACCTTCTACCCTTCCTGGAGACAGAACTTCTATTCTCACCAAAAGCACCCAAAATTAACCTTGTAGGATGCAATCTGGATAAGCTGGCAGAGCAAAATAAGTGCTGTGTCTAGACCATGTATTCTCAGTAGGAGTGATACCGCCCCAAGGGGGTAGAAACAGGTTCTTGGGAGGGTGAAAAAAAGATCATGCATTACAATGATTTGTGGCCTTCCAAAGGGTGACAGTACATAAACAGACATACAATATACGTGTGGTATTAAAATTACATGGATGTGTAGGTCTGTGATCAAGGAGGAAAAATATCTCTGAAGCCTCATTAGGGGGCAATAAGGAAAGAAAGGTTGTGAAATGCTGGCCCAGAAGTATGGACGGAGGGAAGTATTTGGTGAGCAGTAACTCTCAGAAAGGTCCCTGGATAGTTCAAAAGGTTTGCGCTGCACTACTAACCTAAAGGTTGGTGGTTTGAACCCTCCCAGGGTACCATGGAAGAAAGGCCTGGTGATCTGCTTCCATGAAAGATGACAGCCAAGAAAACCTTATGGAGCAGTTCTACTCTATAACAAACACCTGGGGTCACCATGAGTCAGAATAGACTAATGGCAAAGGGTATTTTTTTTTAATTGAACTTTAGATGAAGGTTTACAGAATCTAGCTTCTCATTAAACAGTTAGTACATATACTGTCTCATGACATCGGTTAACAAGCAACATGTCAGTACTCTCCCTTCTCGACCTTGGGTTCCCTATTACCAGCTTTTCTGTCCCCTCATGCCTTCTAGTCCTTGCCCCTGGGTTGGTGTGCCCCTTTAGTCTGGTTTTGTCCTAAGGGTCTGTGTAAACTTTGGCTAAAAAGTGAACATCCAGAGTGACTTTATTACTAGGCTAAAAGGTGTCCAGGGGCCATACTCTTGGCGTTTCTCCAGTCTCTGTCAGGCCAGTAAGTCTAGTCTTTTTTTTGAGTTAGAATTTTGTTCTACATATTTCTCCAGCTCTGCCCATGACCCTCTATTGTGATCCCTGTCAGAGTAGTCAGTGGTGGTAGCCGAGCACCATCTACTTGTACTGGACTCAGTCTGGTGGAGGCCACAGTAGTTGTGGTCTGTTAGTCCTTTGGACTAATCTTTCCCTTGTGTCTTTAGTTTTTTTATTTTCCCTTGCTCCTGAAAGGGTGAGACCAGTGGAGTATCTTAGATGGCTGCTCACAGGCTTTTAAGACCCCAGACGCTACTCACAAAAGTAGAATGTAGAACATTTTCTTTATAAACATGTTATGCCAGTTGAGCTAGATGTTCCCTGAGACCATGGTCCCCACAGTCCTCAGCCCAGTAATTCGGTCCCTGAGGAAGTTTGGATTTGTCCATGGAGCTTCCATGACCTTACCCTGAATAAGTTGTGCTGGCTTCCCCAGTTTCGTATACTGTCTTACCCTTCACCAAAGTTACCACTTATCTATTGTTTATTTAGTGTTTTTCCAACCCCACCCGTCCCCTCCCTGGTAACCATCAAAGATTGTTTCTTTTTGTGTGTAAACCTTTTCATGAGTTTTTATAGTAGTGGTCTCATACAATATTTGTCCTTTTGTGATTGACTTATTTCACTCAGCATTATGCCCTCTAGATTCATCCATGTTGTGAGATGCTTCGCAGATTCTCATTGTTGTTTATCGTTGCACTGTATTCCATTGTGTGTATGTACCATAGTTTATTTATCCATTTATGTTGATGGGCATCTAGGTTGTTTCCATCTTTTTGCTATTGTGAGCAATGCTGTAGTGAACATGGGTGTCTATTCGTGTGACCACTCTTTTTCTCTAGGATATATTCCTAGGAGTGGGATTGCTGGATCATATGATATTTCTATTTCTAAGGAAGTGTCATGTTGTTTTCCAAAATGGTTGTACCATTTTGCATTCCTACCAGCAGTGCATAAGAGTTTCAATCTCCCTGCAGCCTCTCCAACATCTATGATTTTCTGTTTTTTGATTCATGCCAGTAATGCCAGGGTGACATGGTATCTCATTGTGGTTTTGATTTTCATTTCTCTAATGGCTAGGGATCGGGAGCATTTCCTCATGTGTCTGTTGGCCGCTTGAATGTCTTCTTTGGTGAAGTGTCTGTTTATTTTCTTTGCCCATTTTTTAGAGTTTATTTTATGTATTTTGGAGCCCTGTCATTGGGTGCGTAAATATTTATTATAGTTATGTCCTCCTGGTGCATTGACCCTTTAATAATTATATAGTGTCTTTCCTTATCCTTTGTGGTGGATTTTACTTTAAAGTCTATTTTGTCAGAGATTAATGTTGCCACTCCTCCTCTTCTTTGAGTGTTGTTTGATGTAATTTTTTCCATCCTTTGTGTTTTAGTTTGTGTCTTTAAGTCTAAGGTGTGTCTCTTGTAGGCAGCATATAGATAGATCATGTTTTTTTATCCAATCTGCCACTCTCTGTCTCTTTATCGGTACATTTAGTCCACTTACATTCAGTGTAATTATTGATAGGTATGAGTTTAGTGCTGTCATTTTGATGTCTTTTTTTGTGTGTTGTTACAGTTTCTTTGCTCCACTTAATTTTGTCTGCTGAGTTTTTCTTTATGTATTTTCTTTTCATCTTTTTCATTGTTGTTGATTTTGTATTTTTCTTGTTTTTTATTTTGACTTTTTAGGATTGTTAGTTTGCTTTGTGGCTACCTTAATATTTACACCTATTTTTCTAAGTTTATACCAGTCTTTTATTTCTTTATATCGCCCTGACTTCCTTTCCATATGAAAAATCTATGTCTACATTTTTTAGTCCCTCTTTTTTGTTTTAATGTTGTCATGTTTTACATATTGACATCTGTTTCCCTATTTTCAGTATTTTAGCTTTGATTTACTTTCTGACTTCCCTATCTGGGTTGATATGTGGTTGGTCTGTCCTGTGTTCTAGTGTTGGGTTGTTATCTGATGTTATTGATTTTGTAACCAGAGGACTCCCTTTAGTGTTTCCTGTAATTTTGGGTTGGTTTTTGCAAATTGCCTAAGCTTCTGTTTATCTGGAAATGCCCAAATATTCCCATCATATTTGAGAGACAGTTTTGCTGGATATATAATTCTTGACTGGCAATGATTTTCCTTCATGGTTTTATATATGTCATCCCATTGCCTTCTTGCCTGCATGGCTTCTGCTGAGTACTCTGAGCTTATTCTTATTGACTCTCCTTTGTAGATGACTCTTCTTTTATCCCTAGCTGCTCTTAAAATTCTCTCTTTATCTTTGGTTTTGGCAAGTTTGATTATAATATGTCTTCGTGACTTTCTTTTGGGATCTACCTTATGCGGGGTTCAATGAGCATCTTGGATAGATATCTTCTCATCTTTTATGATATCAGGGAAGTTTTCTGCCAACCCACCTTCAACAATTCTCTCTGTATTTTCTGTTATCCTCCCCTGTTCTGGTACTCCAATCACTCATAGGTTATTCCTCTTGATAGAATCCCACATAATTCTTAGGTTTTTTCATTTTTTTCAATCCTTTTATCTGATTTTTCCTCAAATAAATTGGTGTCAAGTGCTTTATCTTCAATCTCACTAATTCTGACTTCCATTGCCTCAATTCTGCTCCTATGACTTTCTATTGAGTTGTCTAATTCTGAAATGTTATTGTTAATCTTCTGGATTTCTGATTGCTGTCTATGGATTCTTGCAGTCTGTTAAATCTGTCATTATGCTCTTCTCTAATCTTCTTTAGTTCCTCTATTGCCTGTTCTGCGTTTTGATTAATTTCCTTCCTGATGTCTTGAAGAGTTCTGTATATTAATCTTTTGTATTCTGCCTCTGGTAATTACAAGAAATTTTCCTCCTCCTGAAAATTTCTAGATTATTTTGAGGGCTTGCTGAAGTCGTCATGGTCTGCCTCTTTATGTGATTTGATATTGACTGTTGTCTCCGAGCCATTGATGTTATATTTATTTATTTTATTTTTGCTTACTGTGTTCTAGCTTCTTGTTTTGTTGTGTTTTAATATGCCCAAATAGGCTGCTTGTGTGAGCTAGCCCAATCACCAGTGCCCCTGAAGCTCTAATGTCCTGCTACCAGGTGGCCAGAACAGCCACTACGTATGTAAGCCCAGGAATCCACCCACTCCTCCTGTATGGATTCAGTTCAGGTGTCCAGGTAGTTGGTCACCAAATGTGTGGTGCAGGCTCTCACCTACAGTCCTAGACAGGCATGGATGATTGGTGTAGGCACAGGCATCCGGTTGCAGCAAGGGGACACAAGCTGAGCAAGGCAGGGGGCTGACGGCCACCCCTGAGTGTCAGGGAGGAAAGCATGTCCCTGTTTCCTAGAGTGCATAGATCGGTAGGTTTTGCAGTTGGACTATGAGCACCCAATGCTGTTGCCTGTAAGGACTGGGGGGCACCTCTTATTCTTGGGCCCCTGTCACAGGTGGCTAGGTGGCGTGGGTGGAGTCACCAGTCCTCAGGCCCCTGATGTGGGTAGGTGAAGACCCCGCTTAATGGGCAGAGCAGTGTCAAATATCAAACTTCACAGCTGAAACAGTTGAAGTTAGACTTCACGTATATACCCGGTTGCACTGCGGTAATGAGGGCCTACGCTGTTGAAATGTGCCCACACAAGTCTATGCAGGGGGAAAGGCACTCAAAGTCTGTGGATCCTTTATGCCTGTGCCTAGGCAAAGGGGCTGTGCCTACCCTGAGTTCTTGGCTTAGGGGAGCCAGCAGATTATTTTTTCCCCTATTTGTTAATTTGTTCACTCTCCAAGGCCAGGAGAATGGCTCAGGGTGCTTGACAGGTCCTACTTCCAGCCCAGGGGACTCGGCAATTACTGAAGCCGGTCCCAGACCCAGTGCAGAGCAGGGAGTGGGGAGGTAAATGAGAGAGAGGTTTTTCCTTAAGGGGGGTGTTTTTGATCCACGCAGTAGGCCAGATGCAAGTACTTCTCTTTTGCTGATAGAGGGCTGCTTCTCACT